TGGGGAAGGAGCATGCCAAAGCAGAGAGGAAACAAGTAGGTTATGTGTGGAGATGGGGTCAGGAGGGATGGCTCCCTTCAGGCTTGGGGTTTTGCTGCAGTGGCTTCTGATGCCCTTAGCAAAGCGACATGCCTGCTGCTACACTACAGCAATTCAGGATCTGTCCTTCCAGCCTGGGTCACTGTGTGCCCCTCTCCCCTCCTCCGTTTTCTCATCCAGGTCCATTCACTGTGCTGAACAACAGCATGCAATCATCTTGTGGGGGTTATTTCTGCCTAATATACCCACCCAGTGGGATTTCAGTGAACATTAAAGTGGTAGATGGAGCCTTTAATGAAGTTAACCTGCTGAAACCGGGAGAGCATTTGGTTGAAGTATACCTGAAAGCCCAGGATTACACAGCAGCTGCTTCAAAAGAACCCACTGCCTCCTTTCATACCACTGCTGTATTGAGAAATAATACAGCACCTTTATATTCTGCCTAATTTAGTCAGCTTGCTGAGGTCTGAAAGCTTTCTTTATTAACTCTGAAGATGCAGGGTATTTCCTCCCCCGTGCCAGTGCCACTGCCCCCCTGCACGGTCTGCTGCACGGAGCAGGCCCCCAGCAGCACCTCTGCACCCCTCCCGTGGCTCAGCACCTCCTGAGCCGGCAGGAATCGCCCTCCCTCTCTCTGCTAATCCCATGATGGATTTTAACTCCACTGTTTTTCTTCCTCCCTGTTTCCTGTTTATGCATTTTCCCCCCCATCCCCTTGTTCTGTATCTTTGTTTCTTTCACCTCCCCCCTTCTCCACTCTTCTTTTACCTCTGCTTTTTTCCCTCTTTCATCTCATTTCTCCTTTCCAGGCTGCCTCGGCACTCCCCTCATTTCCCCTGCAGCAGTCAGTGCTGCTCCCGTACTCTGCCCAGAGCTCTTGGCACCGCAGCAGGGCAGGACCCGCGGGGCTGCCTGAGCTTCAGGCCACACCACAGCCGGGCAGAGGGAGAACTGCACGCCAGCAGTGCTCCCCCTGTATCAAATATCCGTGTGCAGGAGAGGCAGGGGGAGAAAGCAGCTCCCTGCCGCCAGGAAGATAGGCTGGCAGCTGGAAAAATGGGGGGGACATGTTAGAAGGAAGTGAGAAATAAGAGGGTGAGTGAGTGGGCAATATCAGGGCAGGAGTGGGGTGGGAGAGCAGTAATGGGATGATCAAGGACTTGCCTGCTACAGCACCCAGGAGCTGAAGGGGCAGCCTCTGGGCTTGCTCTGCAGCCGCTGCTTAGCAGATTAGCAGACGTGGTACTCCCCATGAAAAATTAACAGGCCAGCTTCCTAATTAAGCCACCTCTAGACTGAAAGTTTATGGACTTGAATGCAATGTGCCAAACTGCTTTGTCCAAGTTGTGGTAGTGGCCTGCTTTTTTTGAGTATGGACAAATTCCCCAGCAAACAGTCTGGTTGAAGGCTACGGCTAATGGGATGCTAAGGTAATTATCGGCTATTTGTGGCTATAAAACGAGATCTCGTAATCATGCACCTGATAGACTAATAAAAACATTTTATATTATGCACTTAGAGCTTTTTAGCTGAGGATCTCAAAGCACTGTCTGGAGGAGGAAAAGTGCAACAAGAAGTCTGCATTTCTGTGAGGAACTGGGAGACAACCCACGCCGTCTGCCCCTATGCCCTGCGCTCCTGCTCCTTGGATACCCTGCCAAAAATGTTTGAGTCCCTGCTCTCCTGCTGACTGACAATACTTATGGTTTTATCTAGGCTGGGTATCATTTTTCCCCTCTCTCATTCCTAGCCCTCTTTCAGTCCTGCCGTGTTGTTTTCTCTGGAAGGCTGTCAAGATCTGCATTGGAAATAATATGTTTTGACATAAAACTGGGGGAGAAACCCTGTTTGTCCAACTACTCTGGAGCCCAGAGAAGGTTACAGGAATACATGATGCCTTGGTTTGAATTTTATTTTCTTTTAAAGCAGGATTGAGAAAGGGTCTAAGGAAAAACTTGGGGATTTCCTGCGTTACAGACACCTCCTGATGGTCAGTTCATGGGGAGAGAAGGACTCATTTAGAAAGAGGAAGCTGTGATTGAAAATAAATGAGGCTGCATGATCAATGTTTAAAAGGAGCTGCAATTAGAGGGAGGAGAAGAGCAGATCTGCAGAGTGCCAGGGAAAACCCTAGGTACACAGGCCCTCAGGTCAGCAGCAGGGAACTAGGCAGTGTCTGAGGAGGCTTTCTGCTGGAGGGGAGGAGAGATGGGGGAAATTTCACTGCATCACAGCTCTGACTAATGCTTGGGCTGCAAAATTCCTTCAACCAAATTTAATGCAGATGGTACGTTAAATATTACAGTACCATTAAATTACATATTGTCTCATTTTCAGTGAGGTTTTGTGGATGTTTCTGACATGCAGACATGGAAAAACGCTGCAGTTCCCAATGGGTTTGGGGAGTGCTTACTTGTGGGTTTTAAAAACCCACAGGAGGACTGAGCAGAGCCCTGAGCCCTTTGGCAGAATGAGGACTTCCCAGCATGGAGAGTTGATGAAGTCCAGCTTCCCTTGGAGCACAGAGCAATACCCACAGCAGCAGCAGCAGCAGCAACTGCCCCTGGAAACAGGCAGAGGTAAGCTCACGGTACATAGCATCACCTTGTGCTCAGTGCCTTCAAACCTGAGAGAGGGTCAGAGTATTACATGCTCCCAAAATAAGTATTTTTGACATTCTTCTACCTGAGCTGGAGTAATAGGTATCACCAGCTGTATTATCATCCTGTCCTGAACACTTGCAGTGGTAGAAACTACAGTAGTGCTGCCTGGTTCTTTAGTTGTGCCTTTCTTTTTTCCTGACAGTGGCATGTTGGGGAGAGGAGACTTGAGATCCAACACTAAACACAGGGCTGGATTTGTGGAGAGCAATTGAAAAGCAGCTGAGAGAAACCTCTGTGGAGCAGCAGGTAACTTCATTTCCCATCACCATTTTCTTTCCTGGGGTTATCTTCTCTTCATTCAGTAACAGATCAGAGCTGTTATCAGTTCAAGGTTTTGTTTGCCCTCTTCTATTGACCTTAACCAGTGGAAACGGAACATAATGGAAGAAAAATTGCCCCTGTGCCATATGGTACGTGAGATTGGGCTGTCTCTGATTAGGGCTTGGTAACCTCTTCCTTTTCCATGCATGTCTTAAGAAAGGAATGATTCATGCTGTGGGTTTATATTACACTCTGATATCTGTGTTATGTTTTGCAAGGGCTATTTATACACGCAAAAAATCGCACTTCGCTAGCTTGATAGTAGTCTAACTATAAGCGAGTAGTAAATAATAGTTGCATAATTCCACACCAAAATATAATAAAAAATACAGGAGACTCTGTTGCCACTGGCTTTGCATTGACTTCAGCGGGTTTTGGAGCACATTTGAGCACAGAAGATGCAAAATCAGGTATCAAAACACACAGAAGGAAGAAGGATGCTACAGCCCTAAGGGTAACGGCTGAAATATCAGATCTATCTGTCAGGCCAAATCTGTTGCTGTCAATGAACTTCCACTGGCCTCAGAGGAACTCTAAGCGTTTGTGTTGTGTGAATGTGCTTAAACAGGTTGGCATCGTGATTTCATTGACGTGAGCTGGTAATGCTACTCGTAACTGATAGACAGCAGAGTACAAAATAATTAGTCTCATCACCCTAAATGAATACCAGTGAAATGTTCTTACTTTCCCTCTCACCCACACAATGATGTATCTCACTTCTGCCACATGCCAGTATCTTTTCACTAATTACCAACTTAAAAAACTGAGATAATATAGCTTTAATAGTTTTGTCTACTGTTTATTTGGAAGTTGGAATCTAAAGTCTAGGGACTCATCAACAACATAAAGGAATTGTTTTTAAATAGCTTTTTGGTGCAGAGTTTTAGGGGTCTTTTCACTCGCTTTGAAATTTCACCTCTCAAAGAGGATGGAGGTGTGAGTTAGCCCAGATACCAGCTTTTAAGCCTGTTGTGGTCTGTGAATATAAGCAACAAGTAAACTCATGGTCCCAGCAGTTCCAGCTCGGGCAGAGACTCCCCACCCTCACGAGGCAAAGGGGAAACTTTAGGAGCAATGCTAGGATGACTATGTGAACGCTGCTCTCGGTTTGTGTTTTTAAAGAGCATCTCGGAGAAAACGGGTTTGGAGCGTGGAAGTCAACTGTGGTGCAGTCCCGGAGGGGGTTTGTATTTGTCCCTTGCAGAAGACTTTGCACCGCACCGTGGGTGCCAGGAGCGAGGCAGCGTGTGCTTCCCGCCGCCTCCCTCCGCTCTCGCAGGCGGCTCTGGTCGAGGCTCGGCGCTTCTGGGTCTCGGCCGGCAGCGGCGGAAGCCCACGAGCAGGGACAATCCTTGTCCTGATGCTCCCCCATCCGACAATTTCTGGGTGTCTCCCTTCGCACAGCCGACTCTTTTGCCGTTATTTCCATCGGGTTTGGTTCCTGCCCGCGCTGCGGAGCCGTCAGCGCCCGGGCGGGGGCCCGCCGGCACCCGCGGCACGGCAGCGCGGTTGGGGCGCGCCCGGCTCCGCGGGGCGGCTCCGCGGGGCCACTCCGCGCCCCGCGCTGCCGCGGCCCCCGCGCTGCCCCGGCCCCCAGCGCTGCCCACGGGCGGGGCGGGCGGGCGGGGCGCAGGGGCGGCGCGGTGCGCGGGGCGGTGCGCGGGCGGGCGGGGGGGCGCGGGGGGCGGCGCCGGCGCTCGGCGCTGACAGCCACATGCCGCCCTGCCTGAAAAGGCTGCGAGGCGCCGGCGGGGAGGGAGAGGAGGCGCAGACGGCGCCCCAGCCCGCACCACCGCCGCCGCGCCCCGGGGGATGCCGAGGCGCCGGCCCCGCGGGTCGCCCTAGGGGAGAGGCTCTCCGCCGGCACCGCCCGCCCCGCAGCCCCGGTGCGGGGAACGCCGCCGCCCCTCGCTGAGCCCCGCCGGAGCTGGTCGCGAGTGGGGCGCCCACACGGGGCGCGGCGCGCCCGGGGTAGGGAGGCGAAGCCCGGCCCCGCAGCCTCGGGTCTTGCGTTGTGGGTCTCGGGTTTTTTTATAATTTGTTCCGGAGGATGGATACGTTTCTTCTCGCCTGGGGATTTCTAGGGCTGTGCTTGCCCGGCTCTGGAGGCACAGCGGAGACAGGTAAGGCGCCCTCAGGAACGGGGGATGTCCCCGTCCGCCCAACTTTCGCGTTCCCGGGCGCGGTCCCGGTCTCACGCAGAGATGCTTTGCGTGGGAATAAATTTAGGGAATGCATGAGCGATCGGCCGCGCCACGCAGCTTTCGCAGCACGGGTTTTGGAGGGGCTCATGCGTGTGGCGGGGCGGGGATGGCGCACCCACGGCAAGGAGCGCAGCGCTTGCAGCCGCGCGGCTCCCAGCGCCCGGCGTGGAGGGGCGAGGGGATGGAGCCGCACTGGAAAGTTGCGTGCTGGTTTTTTGGGGAGCTGCGGGGAAGGGAGGGGAAGCGGTAGGGACCAGCCACATGTCGAACACCCGCATCCGAATATCCGCTGCCCCGCGCCGGTTGCAACCTCGGGAAACTTTAGGTGAGAAATTAAAATTGTCTGGCGGGAGCAGGCAGCCGGGGCCGTGCAGAGCTGGGAGCGGACGAAGCGCTGCGGTGGCGGCGGCGGCACTCTCAGGAAAGGCTGCCCGCGGTACGTGCGGGACCTGTACGCACTTCGCAAACGCTGGGCTGTCCCGGGACAAGGCGGGTTCATGTATTGGGACGCGAGTGTCTTTTTCTGCTCCTCGCTGACGGGCTAGGCTGGACTGTCAGGAGGTGGAGGGATGAAACCCGTCTTTGCGTTGCTTCGGCATGGAGACAGGAGTGGGGCAGGCTGACGCTGGGCCCCATGCTCCCCGGCCACTGGGTTTGAATCTCGCTACTGGGGGCAACAGGGTCCCTATCTGGAATAGTCTCTGGAGGAAAAGGATTTGCCGTCCAGTGCTCTCTCGGGGCTCCTTCTGTGCTCAGGAGCTGCCTGGCACAGAACGGTAGTGCCAAGCCAGCAGCTGCTGCGCTGTGGCTTTGCCTTCCCGTTAGTCGGGGCCTCGGGACGTGGCTCAGGGCCCTGAGCTGCGGTCTGACCCGAGCAGCGGTAGATGATGGCAGAGTGCATTCTCCCTTCTCCTACCCCGGAGCTGTGTGGCCACCCAGCTTCCCCTTGAAAAGGGGAAGTGAGAGAGTCTCTGATGCCTGAGAAAATCCCTCTCTTTTGCAGCGCGAAGCACAGACACTGCCGATAAACATTCAGCTGCCGGTTGGCATCACCTCCTTCCTTACGGTTATAAAGGAAAGAAAAAAAAAATCCCATCTTTTGTTCAAGCAGGAAAGCGAATAGGCACATGATGGGATGAAGAGAAAGGGCAGTGTCCTGGGAGGCCCTTGCTGAGTGCAACAATCTTTTCAGATGAACCCCGTTGCAGAAGCAGTGTCTGATCTCCTGGAGCAGGTTTTGTGCTGTGGCAGATCGGGCTGTAACCTGAGGCTGGCTCCTGAGTGCACTGGCCGGTCTGGTTGTGATCCCTGTGGCCGCTGAGCCCGAATATGTGCCTGTGTCCATGTGTTCACCTCCTTCTATCCTGGAGTGAGCTCAGCATCAGGACTGTTAGCTAGGAAGAGGTTTGAGCAAACCGTGTCTCTCAGGCCATTCAGGCGCTGTAAGCAGTGTTTATTTGAATGCGGGGTTTTCCCGGCTAAGCAGAGCATCACATGGTGTTGGAACCAGCAAGGAAGTTGTCTCTCTGTGGCCGACACCAGCGGTGGTTTGCTGAGATGATGATGTGTGGCTGCAAGTCCGGTCAAATGACTTTATTGCCAGCACAGTGAGCAAAGGTATGGGGTAATGGGATGCAAACCTCGATCAGGCTACATTCAGCTTCAGTAAATTAGCCAGCCTAGTAAGGGAAACATGCCAGAGGTAGATGGATTTATGTTTCAGTCTGGTGTATCTGAAAGCCTTCCCCCATTATGGAAGTCCCTCTTTAGGTTCCCTAAGGGAGGTTAGTAGAGAGGGGAGACGTTTTTAATAGACAATAATATGATAATCCACATGGAAAAAAACCTCATGCAATATTTCTACAGTAAGAGATAAACAGTGCAGCTGCCAATTTGTATGTAGCCAAGCAAACCCTGAGATAACCATGGAGGAGAGTGGGTGGGAGACCCGTGAAGATAAATCTGAAGGTTGGATGGCTGTGTGTTTTTCATTTTCCCGTAAAAAGCAATGAAGTAAGAAAGTAACAGATTTGAGTGACCCAAGTACTGAGCCGTTCAGATGATGTTTATGCAGCTCTGAGCAAAGCTCACTCTGAAGCCTTCAAAATAGTTTACTTAAAAGCTATTATTTTTAGTAGCGACTTAGGAGATGTAGCAAGGTGGGGAGGGGGACCAAAACAAATTGCTGCCAAGCAAGCGCACGGCCACACATACAAACATGCACACACACACCCACACAACACTGAGTGTAGTGCCTTATGCCTGTGTGCTGTTAACTCGGCTCTTACTGGAAACAAAAGCTTTTTTAGACTAGGAATCAGATAGTTGTCGGAGCATCACTGAAAACCACTGATACAAGCTCGGTGGGGGGCTCTGACCCAGGTTAGGATGCTGCATTTTGTTTTCCTAGTTTTACTGCTACAGAAAATCATGGTGTGTGGTGTCTGGAGTGACAGGCATGCATATTGGTCCTAGAAGGCTCTATGGAGGTGCTTCCCATCTCCCTGCCTTGCTCCTTCTGCCCCCCCCCATCCTCCTTACCAGTATCTTCTCTGTGTTTGGTACCTTGTGTGTGGCTTTAGAAGGTCAAAAAGAGAAAGCCCCCCACTTTGCTGGGCTGGAGCAGGCAGCACTTCCCGTCCCGGCAGGAGGGTGGGTTGGTTTCCTAGCAGAAACCTCCAGTGCTGCCAGGCACCAGGACATGGTGGCCTTGTACTGCAGATAGCTTGAGAGGAGAAAGCATCCTTCATGGGGTTTAGGAAGCTGTCAGGTTCAGATAAGGCTGGGATCCTATCCTGTGGGACCCCCAGTTGTATTAATAAGGAAAAATTAATTTTTAAGCACTGGGATTGCTGCCAAATTATATGACCTCTGACAGACCAGCTGTGCTAGGAAAATAAATTGTCTACATCTGAGACCCGTGATCCTATCTGAAATCAAAATAGAAAAAAGTTGTCATTTAGCCACAGTGGTGGGGGCAGATTGCAGCAACCTGAGAGCAAACTGGAAGCTGTTAAACTTGTTCTCCATTGTATGGTGAAGTCACCACCACCGTGCCCCCATGGAGCCTTGGGAATACAGTTGTCTAATCCGGGAAGTGCAGAGAGCTGATGTGCCTGCACACACCCAAGCTGGGGCTGATGGTGTCAGCACGGGGTGGGGGCAGAAGTGGGGTGTAAACGTTTCCAGCTCCATCCTCACTCTGTAACAGCCCTTTGACACATTTCTAATTATAATACACACACAGAGACAAAGAGGTAGCTGGGCTATTTTCGAAATCCCTGTCTACACCCTGGTGGAAACCGCAATACTAGCAACAACATAAATCAGGGCTGTTGCTAACAGTGTTGCACACGGCTTAGCGCTACAGTAGCATGGGTTTAATCACACTCAGAATCAAAGGGTCAGCCTGCTCCCTGCCTGAGCCAAAGCGCAAGCTCGGAAGGCCGGATCCTGAGCCAGGCTTGATGCCTGTGCAGTGAAAAGACACAAACTCAGACACGGAGGAGAGGTTTGTCAGCACGAGGTCAGCAGGCACGGGGCCAAACATTCAAAATCACAACTTGGATCTGTAACCCTTTCTGTGTGCAAGCAGTGCCCGTGAATCAGGGAGGAGAGCTAGAGTAATGTTGGCAGGCTGGGCTCCAGCTACAGCCTTGGTGAGGTGACCTCTTTCCAAGCAGTTTGGGGAAAGGGGTACAAGCAACAGGTTGGCATGCAAAATAGCCTGAAGTATAACTTGCAGGGGTGGATAGCTGTAAGGACTTTTTGTCTGACTGTGTCTTCCCCTGTCTTCACACTTGATGAATCAAAGAAAATGGGCTCCAGAGATAAAGTACTGGGTTCCAGGTCTTTGAAACCTACCCTCATTTCTCCCCGTGCATTTGGGACAAAGGCAAGACATCTGCCCAGCTGTTCTCGTGGGTCACCCGGTCACTGTGAAATGCTGTCTGTGTAGGGCTTGAATGCTTGCCCTTTTCTACGTCCCTTCTAGGAAGATGGTGAAGCCAAAAGGATGCTCTCCTTTTATTCTGCTTATGTTTTATTGAAAGGCTTCTTTGAACCCCCTTTTTTTAAAGGAACGCATGCAGAAAGAGGAAGGAGGAAAACCCCATCTGCATGTAGACACATACACTTATAATCTCCCTGATTCCTCCTCTCTCTTCACAGGCACACAGGTCTCTACCTTCCCTCTTACACACAGAGTCACACCAGCCTTGCTGCTGCCACACACACACACTTCTGCATCCATCCCTTCTCTGTGCCGTCCCTCACAAACCCAGAGCCCCTTGACAACTTTCACCCTCATGCACACCCCAAGCTCACTGCAGCTTTCCTCCCTTTCTGTTTGACTGCTGAATATGTGCTCAGCAGGTAACAATGTGTTTAAGACATTCACCAGAATGTGCAATAACTTTGACAGCGTGCTCAAATCCAGCTGCTGCTGAGCCTCACCACCAGCACCAAAGGCTGAAGCCACTACTGCTCAGCCGTGTGCACGGGGGCACCCATGGTGGGGCTCTCTGAGTGGCTCAGGAGGGGCTGCTCCCCTCCTCTCCCATCTGTGGGGCTCTTTGCAGCCAAGGCACTGCATTGTGCTCTGAGGCTCCAGCAGGGCCTCTGGGAGGGAGGGCCAAGCCAGGGGTGTTGTGAGGTTGAGAGGCTCTGCCAGCTGCTGTGGGAAAGAGTCAGGGGTAAACTGCCACTGCCTGATGGGGAAAAAAGGATTCAGTTTCAGAATGGACCCTGACAGATGAGTTCAAAAGGTGTGAGGAAGCTGGGAGGGTGTGGGGGAGATGAGAGATGAGATAAGCTTTTTTTTCTTGTTGGAATTTTTGTAATAATAATACTAATTAGTATTTCAGAGGCATTGAACACCTTTCATCAAGCCTGAAGCTCTTTAGAGACAAATCCTAGGG